GTCCACATCTCACCGTAGCTGATCAGGACGCCGTACACAGCGGCTCGAGATAATGATGATGTGTAAGGTAAAAGGTCTCGTATATATGTACATGGTAATCGAGTCGAGTATTGACACTTGTTGGAGCATCTCACTTGCGTGTTGGCCAGTTTTGACCGGTAAATTGGTGCATGAACGAATCGTCCTAGCGGAGATGCTCTCTCTTTATCCCCTCGCGCTGACCGGCACAAAGGCCGAATCTGGGAGAGATTCCGTCCCCAGTCAGGGCCATGAGAGAGACACAGGAGGAAGCGACAAGGTTTTAATCCCGATGAAAAAGAGTTAAGCGTAGAACCCCAGTTCAATCTGTTGCGGTCGTCGAAGGACTATGGGGACTGCCCTTCTCCTTTAAAGCCCCTCGTTCTGTTTGCTTAATAGACTTGAGCTGTTTCCGAGCCTTGCGGCCGCCGCAACAGGCAGCACAGCATGAACCAAGCTCTACGATGAAAGCCAGAAGATTGAATGCCGACGCAATCCACATGAACGCCATCATCCGGGATCCCAATTCGGCACCTATGTTGAGATCGTATCCAGACGATGTGAAAACGTTCTTGAAGATGGTGAACATGACCGTGGCAACGACTGAGGCAACAATGGTGAAGAGAGCGGCGAGGAAAGTAAGAATAAGAAAAGGAAAGGCCCGAAGGAAAACGAAGGTGCGCCGCCGGTGCGCAGGGTGCAAATGGTTGACACTAGGGTCAGGCGAGATTGTCTGAGGAGGACGAGAGGAGACGGCAAACGGAGCGAGGAAGATCAGAATGAAGGTCAGGACAGTGGCTGTGATGAAGAGAGCAAACATCCAATGAGAAGCGAGGCGAGCGATTTTGAGGGCATCGGTAATATCACTTGGGAGTGCAACTATGAGCGAGAGGAGAACCTGAGGTTAACATTGCACATTCGATAAATAACAGTTTGAGATGGAGAGGGATAACCTACTGGCAGCTCCCGCCAATAGCTCACTGAGGATGATCTTGACCGGGTTGAACCAATATAGGGTTTTTGGCTTGGAGCAGTGGGTGATCCCGGAGTCCATATATCCTTCGCAGAAACCCCATAATCCCACCTGGTAGAAGTCATGAAGACCGATAGTTCTGGCAATACTGTTTATGAGAACAGCGTTTGGGACGGACAGAGGAACGATGTTTGATAGATCGATCTTGAGAAAGTAGATCTCTCGGAGAACCGGTTTGTCGAAAACATTGCCAATGACGACCAGAAGCAAGAAAATCCAGGCTATCAGATAGAGTAAAGAGCGTATGATCCGATGCCAAAGCACCTTCGACCGAGACCGGCCGTAAACCGGCCGTTCTGATCGTCTCTGGAATGCTGGAAACCTTGCCATGGAATCAGTATAGAGCTTCGGGGGAGACGGATTAAGCGTGCGATCGTTAGGCGTCCTGAGAATTAGGATTGAGAAGAATATATCAAAGTAACTTGTAATACGGATGGGAGTAATAATAGGAAATATCTATATGATTGTGGAAGCCCAATGATGCAGAGCAATTCCAAAGACGTAGGACGAATGACGTTAGACATGGAAGAGACAGGCGGCAAGTATTCAATATGGAATGTCCGTCCTCAGAGGGCAAGGAAACAATCAAGTAAAACGAAATGATGGGAAACGGAAGATTGATAGTAAGGAGATAGAAAGAATAAGAGTCGGGACGGAGACGGAGGGATAGTAGATTTTCAGCATCAAACTCGAGAGAAGGGAACTTGACGGATGAAGAGCGTCAAGACGAGCACGGAGTAGGGAGTTGACCACCTGAGACATCAATATGCCATCAGTCTAGTAGATAGATACCGGCCAGACTTGATGACTTGTACGTACTCTCACTACTACGTATCGAGTAACTCGGTGGAAAGGGTGCAGAAACAACTAGTTTCAGAGTGGGTAGGCAATAGTATTATGAGATACTACTGTCTATCTGTCAATCAATATCCCTTTTTCTGAGCTGAGAAGCTCCACTTTCGTCAGCGATCTTCAAATTACCGTCAGCGATCAAGTCAATTGGCACGGCCTGGTCGTTACGCTATTATCATGGATCCGTTGATCGACTGACAGAGGAGTAGCGCCATTTCAGACAGTATAACCTGAGTGACTCCTGTGTCGGATATAGCTGGACATTCCCTTATGCCTTTGTGTTGGGCCTCTAAAGTACCTAGGTAGGGTCTACTCTGGAGTGCGGTCAGTCTCAATAATTGGATGGGACGGTCTGGACTGTTGAGCAACAATGACTCGAGCACACTGCAACTACAGTACCGTTTATTCGATCGTAGTTGTTCATTGGCCCCTGAAATGCAATTCAACGTCATTGAGCCGCGAAGTTCCCCACTATGTGGATTCTGTTTTCCAGTTGCCTAATGCAGAGCTATCTATGATTGGGTACTATTTCAATATATCCACTAACGAGCGCCACGATCTGCATGGGATCAGCCACTGATTATCCAGTGGCTTGCAAGTGGGTCATCATTAATGCTCCTTTAGGCTTCGGATGCCTCAATTAACTTTTTCAAATTACGGATATCTAGTCCCAGGCATCTCTCGGTACTGGTAGGGCAAGGCACCTTTACACTACTACGTCAACCTCTGGAAGTTCGTTACAGGTATGATACCTAAACTTACCTTACCACACCCTCTGTTGTCTCTCTATCTCTCTCTCTCTCTCGCTTCTCCTATTGAACTCTCAAACCGTCGGCTGACGGACTCTGGGGTTCGGACTCAAAAGAGCTCATCCACTCCGTAGGGACATACAAAGACGAGGTTGCAGATTCAATTTAAGCCGTCAACGCCTGAGATAGAACGACCTATATGATCTGATTTTAATTTCCGACCTGTTTGAACCACATTGTCGTTCGCAGCAACAATGCAGTTGTTAACCTGTTGGCTGCCACTCTTGGTGGCAGCAGCCATTCCTCTGACGCTGGCTGCAAAAGATACCTCTGCTACAAGCACCACAACAACGACCGACGCTCTATTCACCATCACAGGGACTATCACAGACCATGTCAGCGATGCAACTTTGCCTACTGGCACTTATCTCTCGTATACTTCTACTCTTACTCTCACCACCGACAGCGATGGCAAAGTCGGCTCCTCGACCGCTGTGACTAACACTACCGCTGTCGGTAATTCGACCATTCATACCACTTCCACAGATACAATGACGAGACTGGTCGGCAATGCCACGGCGAATGCCACTGTGACTGCGTCGGCGTCGGCTTCGGCATCTCCCGTTGTCAACACTCAACCTTGCAATGGCCATCCCGAATTCTGTGCTCGCAAGTACTCGAACATCACCATGGTGGCTGCTCACAACAGTCCCTTTGTCAAACCAGGCAATGCTGCTGCGAACCAAGCGTTGGGGGTGGCCAGTCAGTTGAACGACGGTATCCGGATGCGTACGTACTCTTGAAGAACATGTCCTTGCGAGAGACCGACCGCTAACCTGATACGCGGGGCCCCTGCAGTGCAATTCCAGACTCACTATGAAAACAGCACCATGTATCTCTGTCATACCAGTTGTGATCTACTCTACGCGGGCACCCTGACTGACTACCTCACCACGGTCACCCAATGGATAAGACAGCACCCGTATGACGTGGTCACCATTCTTATTGGGAACTACGACTATGTCGCACCGGGAAATTTCTCCAAGCCGATCGAGGACTCGGGCCTGTCCGACCTGGTCTATACGCCTCCGAAGATTCCCATGGCCCTGGACGACTGGCCAACCTTGTCGACCATGATTTTGTCCGGCAAGAGAGCCGTCGTGTTTATGGACTATCAAGCCAACCAAACTGCTCTCCCATGGCTTATGGACGAATTTTCCCAAATGTGGGAGACACCTTTCTCGCCAACCGACCCGACTTTCCCTTGCACCGTTCAGCGTCCCCCTGGTCTCTCAAATGAGGATGCTCATAATCGCCTGTACATGGCCAACCACAATTTGAACGTCGAGATCAACGTTGCCAATATCGATCTGCTCATCCCCAACAGTGCGGAACTGAACCAGACAAATGCCGTGTCCGGGCCGGGTAGTCTCGGACGGATGGCCGAGAACTGCACTAGTAAGTTCTTCTCATGCTTGTCAAGTCGCTAGAAGGAAAGGATGTCCGGCTCTAACCTGTTAATAGCCATGTGGAATCGTCCCCCCAACTTCCTCCTCGTCGACTACTACAACTACGGCAATTTCAATGGCTCTGTGTTTGAAGTAGCGGCCCAGATGAACAACGTTACCTATAGCGGCGGCTGCTGTGGATCCACTTCTGCTGCTCCTAGCCTGATGCCGGCAGGAAGCTTGTTGGGCGCGCTGTTATTTGTTGCAGGTGTTCATTTGTTCGCCTCGATCTTCTAACTTGAGACTTGGGGCTTGTATTCACCTTCATCACATAGACCTCGGCTATTGTTTACTTGAGTGCGTCTGGAGTTGTGGGTTGCCATTTACGTTGAGGCATTATCTTTCATGATGATATGACTGCATTGATACATTTATTGACATGTACATATGTTTGTTCATATGGCATTCTTCCTCTACAGAGGATCATATTTAGGCATAGAAATAGGAATTGTTCTGCATCATGAAGACGCATCTGACTACTATATGAGAACAATGGGTTATTTGCACATAGGTCTGAGTGAACTCCATATACATTGGCCCGAACAATAGAGGGCGCCATGTATTGTCGAAATGGATCTGTTGATGCATATCCATTGGCTGATCGAATAGGGTTTAGCGCGCTCTAACCACATGATTTCCGGTTCCCAGTCATCATTATCAGTCTTCCATTCTTCGAGCTCCGCACCCATTCAAGCCCATTTTCCATTCGGTCAAAGACCAGGCAGACCCAATTGGCCTCTATATAACTGTCAGACCGCTTGAAAATTCGGACAGAGCGCTAGGGACTCGCCGTACACCACCAACCTCCCAAACTCCCAGCAAATCAAGCCAAAATCAAAAATGGTCGACATTGTCCCCCTCTCCTCTTACCCCTCGTACATCGACCTCCTCCCCTCCATCCAGACCTGCAACATCACCAACCTCCCCGAAAACTACTTTCTGAAATACTACCTCTACCATGCCCTGACCTGGCCGCAACTGAGCTTCGTGGCCGTCATGCGGCCCCGCAATGGTTACTCGAAACACAAGGGCGGTGCCGCAGGCACATCAGGCACAGGCACCGGCACAGGCACCGCCGACCTCTCCGGGCAGTATCCCAAGGTGGTCGGGTATGTACTTGCGAAGATGGAGGAGGAGCCGACGGACGGGGTGCAGCACGGGCATATCACGAGTTTGAGTGTGATGCGGACGCATCGCCGGTTGGGTATTGCCGAGAGATTGATGAGGATGAGTCGTATGTTTTTCTCTCTCCCGTGCTTTTTTCCCTTTCGAATTTCCCTGTTCATGACTGACGGAATTTGATTGAACAAAAAAGAACGCGCTATGGCCGAGTCCCATCGCGCCAGTTACGTTTCGCTGCATGTGCGTGTCTCCAACACTGCCGCCCTGCGTCTGTACCGCGACACCCTCGGCTTCAAGGTCGGGTCCATCGAGAGCAAGTACTATGCGGATGGGGAGGATGCGTACGCCATGCGCCTGGACCTTACCGATCAATGGCTGGACTGGAAGGAGATTGAGCGCATGGACAGAGAGCGCGCCAAGAGTGACGAAAAGGACGCTGATGAGGGCGACGAGGTTGGAAGTCTGGGCAAGAAGGAAGAAAAGACCGTCCGCGTCAAGGTCGGCCGGAGTTTGGGTGTCGGCGATCTGGTCGAGAGGAACGAAGCCAACCCTTCGCAACAAAGTGTCAGCTCGTAGAACCGAGTCTTCGTGGTCATTTATATACCTCTGAGAGCTAGCCTCTTGGACAATTACACGAGATCCTCGACAAATGTGCTCGATCTACAGAATATGCAGTGATATTGTCCGTTGAACAAGGCTATTTGAAATGAGATCCGAATATCAACATTTTAGACCAAAATATATCCATGAATATGTACTGACAATGCAAAGTCCTAACATCATAAGGAGGATCCAGGTATACGAGGATCCTGTACCGGCAAGTACCCTCTTGTATAGGGCTGGCATTTTCCATGCACTCGTGGCGTTGATACTCGTCCAAAGACAGACGGCCATCACGATGCATCGTTTGAGCCAGCATCTTTGTCTTGCTTCGACGGAGAATTATTAGTTCCTCTCAACCCCTCGCCTTGTTCCTGCCCGTCTTTGCTTTCTTCTGTGTTCACCGGATTTACGCCTTCGCGGTGACTGCCGCCATCAAACCCAGTGCCAGGTGTGTTTATTGAGCTAATGCCACTGGCCTCAGAACTCACAGATTGCCGTGCGGACGTATGTGATGCACCTGTGCGAACCATTCTCCCACTCTCCTGACTATTGCTCAATTCTAGATTCTGCAGCCGCTGCTCCAGAGGAATTTCGGGAGGATGCTCGTTCTCCCTCGATGTTTGGCGGAATCGTTGTTCCTGACGCCAGCGGTTACGCTTGATCCGCCGTCGTTCCCGTTGTTCATCCCTAGCACGACGGAACACATCCTTGAATGCTTTCTTGGTGGCTTTCACCTCCTCCTTCAGGGCACGTCTCTCAGCAGAGCTCCGCTGCTGCTCCTGCGGTGACTCCCACCGGCCCCAGCTGCCATGACAGTGCCCTTGCTGCCCATTTCTCCAATGGCCTCTTCCAGAAATGCGAGATTGGCGGCGGGAATCGCGCAAAACATCGAGCTGACGCCGAAGACCGACTGCCGCTTCGTATAGCTCACGGTCGTGATGGTTATTAAGAGATTGAAGCTGTGCTCGAACAGTCGCCAAATCGGTCGAACTGAGGTCAGACGTCGTCGATATCGAATCGATCGATGAAAAAGATGATTCAGATGAAACAGAGTCGACTGATGTTCTACGAGCAGGCTGAGTGACCGGTGGGGTCACGGGTTGAGTTGGCACCACATTCACTGGGGGGTAGCCATAGCCATGGGCGTAAAAGCCTTGAGCCTGTGGGTTGTTCGAGGCATATTCCACATGAGGAGGGCTGGACAGGCCGCCAAAAACGTCATCGAGCTTTCGACTGTTAAGTCCGGCCTTCTCCTCTATCCAGCGTCCATGAGCCATGGCTTGCTCTTCGACCTGCCTTCCATAATGTTGCGCTTGCTCCGTAATGCGCTCACTGTACTTCTGCGCATGCGACGCCAGCGACGATAACCAGCCAAGAGGACCACCTTTGGAGGTGCTTGAGTACGGATACTGCGGACCATACGAAGGATTGTTCCAGCCCCACGAGGAAGGCTGCTGATATTGTGAAGGCGGTTGAGGAGGGTAAGGATATGCATGAGGGGCAGGAGGAGGCGGAGGAGTATTAGGAACCATACCAGGGGGAAAGAAGGCAGGAGGACCATACGGCGGGTAGGGAGCAGGAGGCATCTGCGAATTTGGGTACGGGAACACCCCAGGTGCGTATGCACCGCTTGCTGGTGGTGCTGTCGGTTGCCCTGCGACCGTTGGCAACATGCCCGCGGAGACGGGCGCAGAATTTTCAGCGTCGTGTGCCTGTGTTGACCGGTTCGCCCGCGATGCCCTAGTCGCGGCAGGGTAACAACGAGGACACAATGGAGAGACCGGCGCATTCTCGGACTCCGTCACATAGATGAATTCGATGCGAGTTGCACGAGGCTCAAAGAAGCATTCGTTCCATTCCTCAATCACGGCTGCGATGCGCAGCCTGCGTTGCTCATCGGTCTCTTGCGGGCGATCTTTTCGATCCCTCTGTATCTCGGCTCTCAGCTGCCGAGGTAAGTGAGCGGACGATGCTGCGAGGCCCAGATGCGGAGGAAAAAGATATTTCAGAAACATGTCCCAGTCCTGCTGGGTGATCTCCGCCGTTCGAGAGCTCCAACACCGAGGACGACGGGGAAAGTCTTTAGATTGGCTCCGCGGGTAGATGGTCAGAAGGTGCGAGAGAGTAGGCCGTTCCTCGCCAAAATGAGTTGGAGGCCGCTCTATGAAGTAGCCTGTAGCGGATGCGAAGTTGGCTGGGAGGGCGAAAGACGCCGCTGAGGAACCATCGACGGAAGGTGCGGAGCCATCCCTGGATGCGATATCACTCAATGACGCTTCACCTCCGCGAAGGCGGAGAAAGCTACGAGCTGTCTCTGCTGACGCATTGTTATTTCTATTATTGACCGTCGGCGCGAGTAAGGGATCGACGGCGGAGTATGGCGGAGGAGCCTCGTCGGAATCCATCACAAGATTGTCGAATGATTGTCAACCGCAATGTTGTAGGCGACTCTACTGAAAACAATAGGCAGTGTTCTGATCAATGATCAAGCATCGCGCATTTGACTGATCATCGAGAGAATCTAAATTTCCCCCCAAACAGTGATGCCCGCGCGGCTTCAGACTGGGTGAGCACTGCGAAGGCAGCAGAATTAACAAAGGTCTGTGTCGAAGAAACAGTCAGCTCCTTGTGCATAGGCCACCCCCTACCGCTAATTGACTGATCCTGCCTCCTAACTCACAAATGTACAAAAACTTTCCGTAATAGAAGCCCCATAAGCAGGACTATGATGATGAAGCCGAAGCTTACAGCCCGAAAAGGCGGCGGAGAAGCAGAAAGAGTGCGTGCTGATCACGGGATTTGACGGCATGTGATTAACCGATAAGCATCATCGCATTCATAGCGATAAGTGGACAATAGAAACTCAGCGGGATTGGCAGTCTATCATTATGTTACAATATGTGCTTGGTATCGTAAAAGCTATCCAATGCTCCAAAACTCCCTGCCTTGCAATGCGGAATATCCAAAAGAGACTTGAGAGATCAACCAGTCGGATCTATTGCATTAATCCCAGGCGTCACCCCAACCATCATCTTCGCCCTCATCCTTGGGCTTCGTATCAATTTTTTTGGTGGGGGCTACCGGCGTCTTTGGTTTGGAAAGGTTGGTATGACTGGAGGTCCGAGTACCGATTGTGGTTGCGGCGGGCTTGCTCAAACCCTTGGTCAAGGGTTTCTTCGCTTTGGCCTTGGATTGTGCAGCCAACCACCCGGCAAAATCGGGCTCACCTCCATCGTCGAAAGGAATAGTGGCGGACTTTGGCGCCGGGGAGCTGGTGACAATTGGGGCACTGAACGGATCGTCGTCTTTCAATGCATTCTCCTCATCATCGTCATCAATAGCGCCCCAAGCTTCGTAGACATCGTCCGTTCCGTTCACTGTTACAGAGCTCGAAACCGGCTGGTCCGATAGAGATCGTCCTAGAGGTTGAGCCTCGCCACGTAATACTTTCTTAGGTAGATCCAGCTGCGTGGAGGGTGATGATCTTGTGGGGCGAGGAACGGATGCTGAGCGAGCAGCCTCCGTGTCGGCCAGTTTACTCGTACCCGTAGTTGGCTGTATCTCACCGTTCGCTGTCGTAAGTTTGTTGGTAAACGAGGAGATTGCCCACCCGGCCCAGGACTTATCATTTGACGTGCCAATTCGTGCAGCGTCCTTGGGTGTTTCTGCGCTAACAGTGGCTGGAATTACCGTATCCGCCATTGAGCTGCTGAAATTGCGAATGCGCTGTAGATACAAGTCTAGAGTTTTGTTCGCTTGGTCTCTCACCAGCCTAGGATATTCTGTCAGGGCCGACAATCAGGGTCGGAAAGGGGGATTAAAGACCGAGGACTCACTTCTCTTTATCTAGCAAAGAGGGACAAATAGCGGGAAGGACCTTCCCTGCGCAATCCTCCTCGTTGAAAAACTCGATTGTCGCAGCCAGCGCGAGCAAACCGGCATTGCGGGCATGGACGAAAGGATCTCGCAGCGATCGGGTGAACGCGGCAATGAGAACCTTTGACCGTGACTGCAGACGAGTTTTAGTACTTTCAACGTGCCAGAATAAGTGGCCATTTCCCACTTACACCTTGTCCGAGATGTTTCGCGATTTTACCCAAACAGATGGTCGTGTTGGTCCGAATACCTGGCTGTTCATCGTTTGCGGTTCGTGCGAGGAACTTCAGCAGGTCTCCATTAATAGTTCGGTCACTGAGTTTATTGACGACCGATAACACAGCTTTGACGGTCTGTTCTCGAACAACAGGCGCGACGTCTGTGAATCCCGACGTCTAGAAGATCAACGTCAGTCTCTGTCCGAGATATTGGAGTCTCCGCTCAAGCTCACCATCTGCGGGAAGATTTTGTCGTTTACGATTTTCTGCGGTAGGTTGTCAATCATTAATGGTAGGTTGTCGAGTAGACAGACCCGAAGGGCCCTATCAGGGTTGCCGAACAAGCGAACAATGACAGGCGTCAACTTGGAGCTGTATTCATCCGGTGACAGTTTTGTCCCGATCTTCAAAATAGCACTCAAGACCTTCGGGCCACCGCCCCCAAATTCGACTGACTTGAGCAATTCCGGCAGGACCTTCATCTTGAAGAATTCCTCGGGGAAATCGTCCGAAAGCTCATCAAGCTCACTGGCCAAGTCAGCTCACAACGTCTTACCGCAGCAGAATACACGATGTGCTTTGGACATACTTGATAAATTCCTCCCGCTCAGCATCGTTCTTAAGGCCCAGGCTCTCTATGTCGTCCGTCAACCGGATCAACGGTGTCTGAAAGAAACCACCGGTCTTCTTCCCTTGCTCAACAAAATGCGCCGCGCTCAATCGCAGTTTAGGATTGGCGGTGCAGAGACGTTTGTAGCTTTGATGCATGCTGGGTGGAATATTCGTCGTTTTGCCGACTTGGTCACCTCCCGCAAAACTGCCATTGAACACCTCGTATATCAGAATGCCAAGCCCATAAGCATCAACTGCTGCCAAGGG